TTCTAGAAAAAATCTTGAGGAAACATTACATACATTCATTGAAAAGCAAGAGACAATCAATACTCAACTTATTTAGAGCATGATAGATTTTAAAGATACTCTTGCAAAATTGACATTTGCTCTCAGTTTTTAAGAGAAAGGTAAGTTTCCATATCAACCACAACAAAATCCCAACGTGTAATACAATGCAAATGCAAGTAATTCTAAAAGTCAATATATGGATCAAGTCAAATCAGTCATCACTCTTCACAGTGGTAAGGTTATTGAAAAACCCACTCTTGAACCTTGTGAGAAAGATGATGAGTCAATCTTTGAGGGTAAGGAAGGGGTTGAATCTAAAAATTGCAAAGAAAAGATTGATTTCCTGCCAGCACTTCCATTTCCTCATGCCATAACCAAATAAAGAAAAATCAATCATAACTATGAAATATTTAAAACTTTCAAACAGGTAACAATCAATATACCTTTACTAGATGCTATTAAACAGGTATCTTCTTATGCTAAATTTTTGAAAGGTCTGTGTATCATGAAGAGAAAACTGAATGTGAAAAAGAAAGTCTTTTTAGCCGAACAAACAAGTGTCATTCTTTAGAACAATAATGCTTTGAAATATAAAGACCCTGGTTGTCATATAATTTTTTATTTTATTAGAGAACATAAAATTAAAAAAGCTTTACTTGATCTTGGAGCTAGTGAGAATTTACTTCCATATTCGGTTTTTTAAAGTTTCAATTTAGGTGAGTTAAAACCAACTTTTGTAACTCTCTTATTTGCTTATAGATCTATAAAAGTGCCTAGAAGAATAGTTGAGAATGTGTTAGTATAAGTTGATAAATTCATTTATCTTAGGGATTTTATTGTCTTGAATACATAACTTGTTGAAGCATGTAATTCATTTCCTATTATTTTAGGATGTCCTTTTCTTACAACTTCTAATGCATTGATTAGTTGTAGGAATGTACTGATGAAGCTATCATTTGAAAACATGATTTTAGAGATAAATATTTTCAATATTTACAAGTAATCTGGAGATCATAATGATTTACAAGAAGTAGTTTTTATTGAAAAATTAGTTTATGATCAACTTAAATATACTTTGAGTAAAATTGAGTTGGATGAATATGAAGATTTGCAAATGATTTATTCTCAGGAAAAAATCACGGATGAAAACGGTATCGAAAATGTTAATGTGGATCTTTTGTCAATAGTGAGAACATATTCAACATCCAACATCACATCAATCGATGATTACTTTCCTAATGAATCCTTACTTTCTCTTAGTTCAATGTTTTGATTTCTAAAAATATCAATTTTTTTACTTCAGGATTTTTTTCATCTTACAAGAGTACCGAAGATAAAAGAAAGTTTTTAAACAACGTGCAAAATTTTTATTGGGATGACTCTTATTTATTCAAATATTATCCTAATTAAATATATTGAAGATGCATTCCTGACAATGAGGTAAGTGGTGTCATTAATTGTTTTCATTTTGAGGTACGAGGGGGTCATTTCTTATCAAGAAAGACAATTATAAAAATCTTACAAAGTGAGTTTTACTGGTCCACCATGTTCAAGGACTCACATGCATTTTGCAAAACCTGTAAAAATTATCAAAAGATGAGATTTATTTCAAAACATAGAGTCTTTATATAATCTTCTATTGACTCTTAAGTCTTATCATAGTAGAGATATGCATCATGAAATTCATGACTTATGACCCAATTTTTATAAAAAACATGCTTGGTATAGTCTTGAAAATCTTACTAAAAAAAAAACCATGTTTGCCAATTTTTAAGAAAACTGGATGAGAAGCCTATCCCCGACCCATAGAGGATGTTTAAGCCGTTCTTGAAAGTAAAACCAATAGAAGATGTGAGCTACAATCACAACTACATGTACATACATATGTTTTTTTTTTTTTTTAAAATATGATATAAATAAATACATAGAGAGAGAGAGGGTGAGACTCCAGCTAGCTTACATATGGGTGATATGATTGCATTTTCAAGTTCTCATATATAAAATCTTCTCTTCCTTCCCTTTATTTATACTCAGCCCATACATTTAACATATATAAAAGTGTGTAAAAATGACAGGTTTCTCAAGTTATTATATAAGAAACATTTGTGTTTTCAGTGGATCTAGTCTTGGAAAGGAAATACAATTTTTAGAATCAACAAATCATCTTGGTCAGGTACTAGCTGGGAGAAAGATTCATTTAGTGTGTGAAGGAGGCAACCTTGGGTTAATGGGGAGAGTGTCAATAGCTATATTTTTAGGAGGTAGTGAAGTTTTGGGGGTTGTCCCCAAACCTTTAGCAAATGAGGACATCATTAGAAAAACAATTAGAGAGGAACTACAGGTCTTCACAATGTCTGATCAAATAAATGCAATGTTTAAACACACTGATGCCTTCATTACCTTGCTAGATGGTCTGGGCACATTGGAAGAGATCTTTCATATTTCCTTTTGGGCCCAACTACACATTCACTATAAACCCATAGGTCTGTTAAATGTTAATGGTTTTTATGATAAATTATTGTCTTTTCTTGATTATGCTGTGGAACATGAATTTCTAATATCTTCGGTATGACAAATCATAATCTCTGCTGCTACTGTTGAACAATTGATTGACCAACTACAATATTTCATTCTTGTAAATCCTTGTACTCACATAAATTGGTCAACTAAGAAAATCAGTAAAAAGCTTAGAATGGATTTGAGCCTTCGTTTGTGAGTCCTTGTGTCTTTTGGTTTTAATAATAACATATTATTTTGTTTTGTTATTTCTTATCTTTGTTTAAGTGTGTGGTTTGTTAGTGTTTGATATTTCAGATGATGTCTTCTATACTCTATCTTTCTATGTTGGGACATTGAGGACAATGTCTCGTTTTTGTTGGTGGGAAAGGGTAGTAATTGATATTACAAAAAAAAAAATTAACTAACTGTGTTTTCTATTTTATAAACTATTTATAAAACTGTTGTTACTAGGATGACAGAGTAAAGGAGTTCTTTTGTTAAAGTAACTCTTGAGACGCATTTTAATAAGCATTCTTAATAAGATCTATCAGAATACTTCTTGAAATATTCAGGTTTATAAAATCTCGTATTTTTATCACTTAATTTTACACATATACTTATTTAACAAGTATTTTTAAACCTTCATTTTCACACACAATTTAACATATGATTGTGGGTTGCACATTGAATTATTATATTATTGATTATTACATTATTTATGTTCTTTTGTTAAAGGTAACAACTAAGGGAAAGGGATAGTATATAATTAAAAAAAAAAGAAATAAAAATAGAAAGAAAGAAAAGATATATATATAAAATGATGATAATAAAAATATAGATAAGTTTGGTTTCGTAGCCTCCCTAACCTAAGCAATTAAGCTTGAAAGGGTGTTTTAACACCTAATACTCTAAAGTTAACTGACTTGGAAACTATTGGCACAACGCTTGTTACATGGGTTGAGGAGAAAAGCTTAAGGGAATCAAACATAGTATTATCTACGTATCAATATCTGCAACTCGAGTTACTAAGCTCGTAGGGGTGTCTCAACATCTAATGGCCTAAAACTAACTGATCTGGGTGTTATTAGTCGAAAACTCGTTATATGGGTTAAAGATGTATTGTGTTTTAAGTTATATGTATATATATTTAAAAAAAATAAAATAATCCCAGCCTAAAGAAGTTAACTTTAAATATTTGAACAAAAATTTTGTTTTCTTCCAAGTAAAGCCTTATAACTATGTGTTGATATATTAAGCACAAAAGGAAGGTTTATTAATATATTGTTTAAGAGTTATTAAATAGATATATAAATTTAATGAGAATTTATTTAAGTTATTGAATAATAATTCTAAAAATAATGTTAATAATATGAATTAATTAAAAAAATCCATAGCAACCGATTAAAAAATCAACAATTAAAATTTATATCAGCAATTAGTTATTCATTTAAATAATAAATAAAAAAGCTCATATAAACAATATAAAATTTGTTGATGCTAACAAGTAATTCGCATGTGTCACTTATTATTTATGAAAATATTTCCGCTACTGATGAATCAATAATCATAAATCTATATTTAATCATTTTTGTTATTGATTATTCCATTGCTAATTTTTATCAATAATAAATTTTAATTTTATATTAGACAAATACAAGACACGTCAACAAAAATATTCCATTCACTCGTTTTAAGATGAATTTGAGAAATGTTTGAAAGAAGGACTTCTTTTTCTCAACTCTACGGAGACACGTCTACAAAATGACAAGACAAATACAAACACTGCCCCCTTGTATCCAATAACTATAAGCCACGAGAACGCCTACATAAACACGTCAAAATATTCCTGAACCTTTAGCGAATTCATCCCTCCACGATTCCACACAGGGCTTAGACCTTTGAGAAGCTTTGACCCATCTTCCTGCAACAATGGCAACTTGTCTAGAGCGAAAGAGTGCTCTAGCAATGAATCAAAAACTCATCAAACTAGAGTTGAGGAGTGAGCTCTGAAGTCCTACAAGAAGATTGCATAGCCGTGAACGTTGAGTTTCTTTCATCCTTGTTAATCTTCACACCAATATATAACATTGCAATGTGCCTATGGGTTTTCTGTGATTCCATGATAACCTTGTTTGATTATGTGTTCCTTTGAATCACAAGGTTCTAGTCCATGATCAAGTTCTTTTCTCAATTGATTTTCAAGTCGGAATTTTCACTTCAAATCGATTCCAATGAGAAAATTAATTCCCTGAAGTTTAGAATATTTCATATTGTTGCTGGGATTTTCAAGCATAGTACTGTATGAAACGAGTAGAAGCTTTCGCACCATACGTTCAACGTTCTGAGTTAGGGATAGGGCTTACGCAAGAAGCTGGCACAACGATACTGAAACGAACAAGGAGAAAACAAATAAAATAAAAATCCCCCCAGCAAAAATTGAAGTTTCGTGATCATCCAGTCCACACCAATGCAGCACATAATCATCAAGAATAAAAATTTAACTTAATTGTTATCCGTAGAGTGCAAAATCTCCAGTTTTCCCTAAAACAATCACTTAATTGCTTGTGTTTTACTACTTTGATTACCCTCTTCTGCCCTGGCTACAACTCTATTTGGGTTTTCTTCAGTGCTCACCTTCTTCCCATACCTAACATTATTCCTGAGTGGCATATCCATCGCCTGGTAAATAGACACAAGAGACCTGTATCTTCTCTTTCTTGGTCGAGCAACCTCCTCTTCTATCCCGAAAATCTCTTCAATCATCCTCGAAGTGATCTCGTTTTGGCTGCTTCGATCGGACTCCTGATCATCTTCAAAACCACTCTCATTCTCGTTCTTCCTCCCCTTCTTGTTGCTGCTACTGCTGTTGTCTTCACCGCTTAGCTGGACGAGTTGTTGTGCTGCAGCCACGTCCGAGTCTGTGAAGGTCTTGGGATGGATTGCACACAAGGCTTTCAATTCTGCCATTGCCATGGCCGCCATCAGGATTCAAGAAGAGAGAGAGAGAGAGAGAGAGAGAGAGAGAGAGAGAGAGAGAATAATTAAGCTTGTTGTTTCAGTCATCTATTTCTTCCATATTTTAAAAGGTTTTATTGATTTCGGTTTATGGGCTTGACATGGGCGCAGAGATAGCGCGTTTTGAGGGTATCTACGTACGTGTGTTGTATGAAAGAAACTGCAAGGTTGATTCTTTGAAGATGGCAGGAAGATGTGTAGGATAGATAATTGATGGCTATTTGAAGACTTGAAAACCATATCAGATGTAAGACTTCTTCTAACTTCTTGCTTCTTTGGGCTCCACAACATTGACCCAAGTCATCAATAAATGCAAATTGGTACCTGAAGATCAGATCCCAGCAATATCCTCAGATTTTCGAGTCATTGGGTTTACACGTCCTGAACTGTTTTCCTTGAATTTGAGCCCTAGCTCCATGAGATTTTCAAACCAAGGAACATTTTTTATGGTGCTTTCTTGTTTTTCTTACTTTGTCGCTATATGGATTATGGAAAAATAGCAATGGAGAATGTTTACCTGCTTTTCAATGAAGCTCTTCTTTTCCCTCTCAACAAGTCTTGCTATGTTTGGGGTTTTGCTTGACTTCTGAACTGTTCAGCATGATTTAAGAATAATCAATTTATATCTTGGATCCGTTTCCTTCGGTGCATCATCTAAATGGAAGCACTAAACGAAACAAAGAGGCAATTTCTATTTATTATTTGGATATTGGGGTAAGATTAAAATTAATATTTTCAAATGCTATAAAACGATTAAGACAAAAAAAAAAGAGTTACAATTAATATAACTTAATCTTGGATTAGTTTTTAAAAATGCATTCTCTTAGCAAAACCAAATTCAATTGATAGTTAAGTATGATTGTTCTCTTCTAATTAGCTGATTGGGATCCAATCTCAAGTTAAGAAAAGTAGATTTTTTATGAATTTTCTAGTATTTACATGGATTAATGTTTGCTCTCAACATATGAAGAAATGGACTTACTCTTGATGTACTAAAACTATTTTGAGGCTTCTTCAAGTCATAAATTCATAAAAAAAAAGAATATGAAATTATTGACAAAATAATTATTATATTTTTCTTAAAAAATTTCTTGTCCCATTTTCACAATGGGATTGGGGGGGGGGGGTGTATTTTATTTGGCAATGAACAAATGCAAATAAAATGATTAATACTATATTATTACATGTGTTAATTGCATGGTGCCATGTAATATATATTACTAAACAAACCTTTTTCAGGCGCACATTTTTAATTTGAATGGTGTAATGACTGAGAAACAAATGTTATTGTTATTTAGTTGAATAATTTTGACAGTACACATTAGACAGCAGCTTATAATTTATTTATTTTTGAGTTTGAAATTAAGATTTTTCAATAAAAAATATTAATATTAATTAGTTATTTACCTTCTATACTAAAGATTTGGCCTTCTTTTTTATATGAACAATGAACTTAATTTCTCTTCCTTTTCTTTCAAGTTCCATCCTTTTTTTTCTTTCTAAATTGTCCTTTTGTTGTTTATTTTTTTATTGAATCATTTTATGGTCTAATTAGATGGGATTAAGTGAGAAATTGTGTTAGAAAGACAAAAAAGAAGAAGAAAAAGGACTGATATATAAAACACAAAGAAAATACATGGTCACTTCTAAATTCACGATAGTTTTCATTATGGTTTAAAAATTCATTTTGTTATTTTGTAATATCTAAGTCCAAGAGAAAAGAGAAAGATAATTGCCAGGTAATGATGAAGAAAAAGAAGTCATCGATTAAACATAATTTAACCACAAAAAGGGATCTTTGAGTCAACGAGTTCCTCTTCTTAAGATAAGTTTCTAGTACATGTTCTTCTCTCTCTAAACATAGCAGGATTGACAAATCAGGTTTGATTTGAATTGTTTGGATTTGATTGATTTTTATTTTTTGATGTTTTAGGGTTGTTAGAAAGTTTATATAGGTTTTTATGGTGTTTTTAGGTGAAAAAAATTGACAAAAGAGATTTTAGGGCAAACCTCGGTTTCCCAACCACCATAATGTTAGTTGGATTTTTGGCAACAACATGGGATGTGTCATTTGTTGTTTTTTTTTATATATAAAAATAGGGGCAAACGACATGACCCTTAAAATTTTTTTTTATTAAAGATGCTTGTCCAAACGCCCGTGTACTTGGGCTTTTTTAAAAGACATGTGTGTCTAAGCTATTTTATTTTAATATGGTTTTTTTTTTTAATTTAATCATTAGTGTTAGGTTTTTTTTTTTTTTTAATTTTATCATTCAATATTCAGTTTTTTAATTGGTTTTCATGATTTGTTTCAATTTGCTTTCCATAGGGTTATTGTGGTCTCAAATAAACACATCAATATTTAGTTGGTGCTTGATTTTATTATCATATAATTAAGTAGAATTTTTTTAAGAAAAATTAAACTCAATGAAGTTAATGACCTGGATTACAAGTTTGACAACTTAAATCATAAAGCTCGAATTGATCCAGTTCCTTGTTGTCTTCATATTTTATATATAATTCCATCTTTAAAAAAAAAAAAAGCTAACCATGTATTTACAAGTAGTACAGGTTGTTTTTAGACCCATCAAATATAAAAGATTATGTTGGGAAAACTCTTATATAATTTAATTTAAACTCGTGCTAGATAAAGAATTAAATTAATTTAAATTTTACTCACCAACCAAGTTTAATTACAATGTCAAATGCTTCCCTGTACATAACATATACATAACAACGTGGACATTATTTTTTACATTAAAAAAAAATTGAATCTGACCCCAACATATTGCATAACCTGATATAACTTGAATGTTTCTTGCAAGATGACCTCTTTATCATGATGAACGGTTATTTTATATTTCAATAACAGACATTGCATTGTTATTACAATTGTATTTATATATATAAAAGAACACAATATTACAGTGTGGATTCACACAATATAATTAATTTTTTTTGTTCCTTCAACTATTTTTTATTAGTCACTAATTTTTTTTCTAGTTATGTCCTTTCACATTTTGTTTACTTGGATTTAGGTCTTATAATTTCAATTTGCTTGTTATAAGTTTCTTGCGTGTAAAAAAAAAAAACTATCAATATTAAGTTATTGCTTTGATTTTGCAAAATAAGCTTTAATTTTATTGCTTAAAACAAATTAAAATTATGAGGACCACATTTGACATTGAAACAAAAGAATGTAGTTTCTTTTTCTTATTGTTCATGAGGCATGAAAAGCTCCATTTTATTCTCCAATATTTTTATTTTATTTTTTCCCTGTTTACTAAGGTTTTGACGTTACAATCCAATACTTTATTTATTAATTATTTTATCCCCTAGAATTTATGAGGAGAGAACGAGAGCCTTTGAAAATAGTGGAGGAGAAAAAGTGGTAATTGATCAAATTATGGGAATAAAAATAAATAAATTTGATATCAATATGAATAAGAAAAGTGTTATTGTTGTATCTTTGAACTTTTATATCACTAAAAAAATAAATTGGGGTTAAGAAAGAATTTATATATTCAATTTAATTTGTATTTCTTAATCAATTTAAACCCCATTTGTTTTTATAGTTGGAAAATGTTTTTGTAAAAAAAAAACTTTTTTAATTTTTTTTTGTGTTTTTAAATCATTTTGATGTATTAATGTTAAAAATAATTTTTGTTAAAAAATATTTCAATGTATTTCTAAAAAAAAATATTTTAAAAAACAACCTCTATCATAATATTAAATAAATATTTTTTAAAGTTAAAATAAATTACTGGGTAAAAAAAAAACTTGACTCAAGTTTTTAACCACCATTTTAATGATTAGATTCTTTACTAAAAGACAACATAATGTAAACAATGTATTATTTAATATTTTAAAATAAAAAGATAAACAATATATTATCCCTCTTTAAACATAAACATAAAAATAAAAATAAAAAAAGCCCATGTATGCTAAGCTTTCTTTTTTAGGCCATATTTCTAGCCTCTTTCTATGTTTTTTTTTCACTAATTTTTTTTATTTGTAATGAAATACATTATAAATAAAATAATTAACATGATGTTTAAATTATTATTTAATATTTTCATATTTCTTAAATAATATTATAGGAATGTTAATAATTTTTTTAATTATTATATACCTAATATGTAAAAAACAAATTAAAAATATCCTCATGAATATTTGATGAAAATAGAATTTTTATTTTTTATTTTTAATAGATTTTTTACATGATTTTATCATATTAATTAATTTTTCACTTCTAACTACATATAAAATATATTGAGACATTATTTTAATATTTTTTAATTAAGACTTACTTTGCAGATCAGTTTTAGTTAAAAAAATGCTTTGAATTAAAAAACATATTTGTTAAAATAAGGAAAAGATGAATTACTAAGGAAAAGGAATCTATATTGCAAAGATATATATTTTTTTACTTATTAATTAAAATGTTTTAAAAAATATTATGTTAATTATCACTGCCTTTTATTCAATAAACCAGGTCTTAACAAAGTCGTATGTGAACACGCTAGGTCTACCGGGTGAAATTAAATCAACTTCAACATTGTTTAATTTGAAACTTAGCGTGTCGAGCCAGCAAGTCATTTCCTTGCTCCAGGAGAGAGATCGGGGCGTCTAAAGTTTCAGGCTTCTCATTTGATCTATTCACTATATGGTATGCTGTTGTGGTGCCGTCGTCACCTATGGATGCTTTTGGATTCTGTCTAGGTGGTTGGTGGAGCTGTCTATTGTCGAACGAATTGGAAGAAAGAAAATAGGCTATTGGTTTCGAGTTCGGGTGTCGAGGAGAGAGGATGAGGGAGCTTCTAGCGTTGATGGCGATGAATGGTGACAGGGTCTATCGTGGTGGTGACAGTGGAGATGAGTGAGGCTGTTGCTAGGTTGATATAGCTAAATCTGGTGGCCATCACCGTGAGAGTTTCCATGGGTTTCCTTCAAAAAAAGATCGATGGTCTGTGTAAAAATAAAAGAGATTGGTTCCAACCCTCCTCTCCTGCTCTCCTTCTCTGTATGTCTTTGAGAGAGTGTTGATGGTCGGCGGAGGATTTTTGTTTTCTCTTGTCCGTGGAGGGAGATAACGGCTGGTCTTTTTGTGAGAATGGCGGCTGGTTGTTGCTTTTCTGTGGGAAAACGGAGGCCTTTTTGTCTTCTCTTGCCCGAG